GCCACAGACACGGCCGGTTGCCACCGTGACTCTGTGAAATCACTCTCTTCTGTTAAACTCAACCAGAGACTGTTGATTTCCAGCAGCCGTGATGGCGCCATCAAGGTCTGGAAGTAACCTCTCATAGTCATACCCCCACGCGTAAGTTTTTTCCCCCCTTTGTAAATCTCTCTCTCTCTCCCCCTCACATGTTTAGTTGGTTTCTTTTTCATGAATATAGCATATTTAGAAGCACATGGACATTTGTCTTTAATATCTTTTGTCATTGTGCACAGCTATTATGATAACAGGGTATTAAAATTCACATTCCATCCAAAGAAATGCTTCAGGAATTGATAATCCTTCGTTAGTCAAAAGCATATACATTTACATTTACATGTGCCTATACACTAAGCTCTGCCGTTTCATTCCATAGTTATCCTGCTGGCTCCTGCTCTGTGACAGTGATGGTCCTCGTCGATCCCATTTTGATTTGCTCATCATATGCGTCTTCCTATCTCCTATCCTCAATTTGTTGACTTGTCTATAATAGTAGTAATAATTTTAAAAGATATATAGTATTTTTATTATTTATTTTCTATTGAATCAAAATAGTGATCCAAGTGGATAATCATATGATGACGATTATTCACTCATTTGCGTAAAATTTAGTAATGTATCTGATACCCGTAATTGAGGAGAAGTATCTCAGATCATCAACATAAAAACCCAGAGACCATAGAAAAAGCCCAAAAAAATGGCAAAAGGCCTGCGATGCTTTTCAGGATCTAAACTAAAGCCCAATATAGCCCAATAAGCTCTTCAATAGCAAGTCAAGGAATGGAGTGGCCTAATTAAAAAAAAAAACCACGAAGAAAAGAGAAGAGCGTGAACGTAGACAAATCCACGCGCAGGAAAAGCGAGTAATACTCACGCACTCATTTTGGAAGGTTATAGTCCAGGGAAATCGCTCAGATTTTGCCGGATCCAAGATTTACAAGAATGAAAGCGCGTGGGGAAGCAATAGACTCTCCCATGTTTTTTTTTACAGTTACCCCTTTTTTTAATATAAAAACCAATTTCTTCAAAATTCATTTTTAATTCAAATTGGCATCATTAAAATACAATCCTTTTTCACCAAAAAACACAATTCTTTTTCGGTAAAAAACATAGGAGATATCGCCAAAAAAATACTGTATTATTTTTAGGTCAATAAAAAAACCTATATTTTTTTAATTAGTAATTAAACCATGTACTTGGTATGATAAACTCATAAAACATCGAATTTTTTAAAAATTCACCGAAAACCCTCTGCATCTGTTAACTCAAACAAAAATGATGATGTAACAATGACATGTCTTCCAAATTCCATCATGCAACATCATCATAATTATGTCACATCATCATTTCACACATAAAAATTCACATACATATATATATATTAAAAATAAAATTATTTGTAATTAATAAAATACATACACACATAATTACAAACTATACACCTAAAATGCATAGTAATTAATATATACATATTATATATCTATTAAAAATAATATGTATATATATTTTAGTTATACATACAATATATACATATACAATTAATATGTATATTAAAATAAAAGTAATTATAACTAATATAAAAAAATTATATCTAATATAATATATATATATATATTATTTATAATATAATTTACAATATATATATATATTATAGATATGTATATATGTGTTTTATTAGTTATAAGTAATTTTATATTTAATATATATATATATATGTGAATTTGTATACATATATATTAATTTAAATAAATTATTTAATTTAAATTTTGTTTGAAGATGACATGATATAATTATGATGATGTGTGTATAATTTGTAAGGAATGTCATTGTCACATCATTTTTTTTTAATTAGCAGATAGTTTTGGCGAATTTTTAAAAAGTTCGGGATTTTATAAGTTAATCACACTAAATATAGGATTTAATTGATAAAAAAATAAAAAAAAATTCGTTTAGCGGAGAGAGTTCATAGTTTTTTTTCGATTTTCCCCAAAACCATAATTCAAATTGGGAGAGTAAACCGATTTGGGCAGTTTAGACAATATGGACTCAAAGTTAAGTAAGCCCATAAGCCCATAATCTCTTAAAATTGGAAACTATTAAATTACGAAAATATGGGCTTAAGGCCAAATCCACTAAGAATATCTTTGTTCGAATATATTTTGACTGGCCGATATGGGCTTTACATGAAAAAACATAAACAAGTAATGTGGTTGCATCAGTAAATCAAGAGGGAATATTAGTCAAATAACCCACTTGGGTCGCAGCAATTTCAGTGTACACCACCGAAAAAAAAAAAAATTTCAATTTTAACCCACTTTTCGGTTGGAAAAGTCCGAAATACCCTTTTCGTTTTATTTTTTGCGACCTTATTACGACTAACATATCACTGATATACCACTAAAATAAGACAGATGATTTTTTTGCCAACTTTTTTAGAATTTTAGAATCAATTGTAACTATATTTAGAATTAATTACGAAGTCGTAATAACGAAGTTGTTTTCGAACGGATAAAAATCACGTATTCATTAAGAGTAATTTCGTCTTTTCACACGAAAAAAAAAGTGTTATGTTTTTTCTGGTGTACACGTGAAATAAGTGCGACCCAAGTCGGTCATTTGAGTAAAATTACCAAATCAAGAAGTAACTTAAAGTCTTCAACCCAATATACATATATATATTTATAAGTATATGTTATATATGCGTGTACACAAGTGCAAAAATCACGTATTCATTAAGAGTAACTTCGTTAAGGAAATTACGTAGCTTTAGAGGTAGAGAGGAAGTACACAAGTGCAAAAATGAAAAGCACCAAAAGGGTAGACATAAAATCGAAAGTACAAGAACGCCATTAATCCAAATGTGACAAAAACCATAAAAAAATATAGAGAATCGATAATATGGTTCCTTGCAAGATTTTAGACAGAACTCACTCGTCTTCCTCGATGACCTTTGTGCCCAAACCACTCAACCCTTCGGGCGGACTCTCGGCGACAGTTACGAGGGAGAAGAACTCTTCCTTTGCGTCCTCGTCATCGTTCCTCTTCCGGGCAATACGAACCCTAATTCTCCTCGGAACACTACGGATTCCTCTGCACCACACTTGCTTGTTCAGCTTCACGTCTACTCTCACATCCTTTGTTCCCATTGCTTTCTCTGCAAATTTCCTTATCTCTTTTATGGCATTGGGCGCCTTCTTTTTGAATGTACTGTCATATACATATCAAGGGAAGATCATGATCCAGCATATGATTCTCCTAATTAACAATACTCAAGCAAAGGAATTATCTTAACAGAAGAAATCCATAACCAATCTACTACACTCCTACAATAATCTTGTCTCCATATGGCCCTAATCGACAGCAAGTCCAAGAATCCTGTTAGAAGCTGTCCATAAGCTAAAAATAAGCGATCCCCAATATCTAACACCAGATTTTCAAGGCCAGTGATATACTAAGCCAAATATATATATATATATATATGCATTATAAAGAGATTATAAGCGTATGATGAATCAGTATCAGCAAAGGCAATTAAACTGAAAGACAACGCGATAAAAAAAAAACCAAGAAGACGATGAATTCATCGTTTATCCTGGAAAGCTAAATCAACATAAGCCCATGGAACTGGATTTTTCAGGCCTACAACAATCAACTGATGCTGAATGCAGATTGCAATGATCTCATCAATTAAACACAAACAAGAAATGAAAAAAAGGAATCCAGAAAACGAATCTAGGGTTCTTGTTTTACCAGCCATGGAGGCGCTTGTGAAGGTTGATAGTGTACTCTCTGGTAACAACTTCCTCTTTTCTCCCCTTAGATTTCTCCATTGTCTCCAGCAAACCCTGAAATTAGACATCCTCAGAAGAAAAAGCAAACCCATTTCAAATCAACACCAGCCCTTGACAACAACCAGCATAATTTTTTTTTTGCTGCATCTTGCGAATCACGCTTAATTGCAAAGAGAACTAATGGAACAAGAATACGAGAATCAAATCCAAGATGGAGGAAACAGAGACAAGTACCTTTGCGGGTGAAGGAGCGAACTAGAGAGTAGGGAGAGTAGACCCGAGAAGATGAAGCCACAGAGGGAGAAAGTAAACCCTAGCCGCGAAGCCCTGATTTAGAAGATTTCCGTACGGACAATCGTTTCGGCGTTTTGGGCCTTTTCTCTTCATCAAACGGGCCTTATCCAAAATCCTCCAGATTTCGTTACGTCAGCGTCATAATCGGGTACGCTCACATCCACAGTAAGCAACGGTGGACCATCAATTTATTATCGTCTTTCCCAAAACCCCCATAGCTTTGAAGCTAAACCGGACAGTTTACCGTATCATTGCATGCATACATCTAAGTAAAATAAAAAGGTCAGGACTTTCTGCGTTAAACCCTTCAAAATCTCAACTTGAAGCATTACCAAAGTTCCATTCTTTACAAGTAATATGATGCAAGCGCCTCCCACATGTAGCTTAGACGTCTCATCCTCATTCTTGTTCGAAGAAACAAAAACCCATTGATGTCTTGTTGCAGACAATCAGATCTTGGAATGGAAACAATTCCATGAACATCGCAAACATGCTTATGGCTGCTGCCGGGAAGATAAAGCATTCACCTTTGCAGCAGTTATCATCACAAGCGCTTCCAGACAAGAGGCCAGAATTATTTGGCCCGTCTTCAAAATGGCACATAAACACCAAAATATATCATACCATATGATAGAAACATTACTTCCAGCTCCTTTATGAAAACAATCTCGTAGAAAAATCCATTACAAAATGTGAGTGCATTGTTCTGAGATTTAGAAGGACGGAGTCCTTATAAGTTATACCCTCTTGGTGGGCTGCCTGTTCCTCTTCTCGACACCGGATTTCGCAACATTAAGGCTTCTGTGGATCACATTAAGCCTAGCGAGAGCAGCCTTCTTCAAGTCTGGTCTGTAGAAGTTGTCTGCAACCTGATATGATCGACATATATTCAACACTAGATTCATCGATATATATACACTCATACCATTGATTAAGAATAAAGAACATTTTTATATATTTGTCAAGGTTCGAGCTCAGAAGCCAAGCGTAACAAAGTGTATTTCATCGAAGAACCAAATATAGATAAAGGCTCTTCTTACATGTTACTTTTCATCATAAACAATACAAACACTAAACATCATATCACCCACAAGATTTTGAATCATATCGTCTATGTTTGCCAAAAGCAAATAATTTTACGGCTGACTTTTCGAACGTAGGTATTCAAGAAGCAACATAGAAATACCTGGTTGACAACAGTCTTAGCCATTCTTGGGAATTCCTTCTTCAAGACAGATTTGTTGACAGAGGCACAAGGCTTGCTCTGCTTCTTGGTCTTGGTGGTGCCGAGCACAACTGCCTGTTCCTTGTCTGCTGCCTGAATGCTCACCGTCTTCTTGTTGGCCAAACCTGAAATTTTCATCTCAAAATTCAAACTTCCCACCGAGATTAGAAGAAGATAATTCCCCTACACACGCTTCTCCATCCACCCAGAGTGAGTGATGGGAGTTCATCGAAATAACAATGCATCTCAACAAATCATCAAAAAACTTATTTCCAACGCAATGTGTCTACTCACTACTCTATCCTTACATCAAACAAAAGGGACGAACTTTTTAAGAACAAATCATGGTCAGCTATATACATCGATCTCCCAGTGTCACTTGCGACGTCAATTATTCACGAAACAAGGGATAATTTCTCTGCACTTTTGTCCATTGAAAATCAGAGTGCTTGTAGGAGTTAAGGTTGTAGAGGTTGTTGCTCTCCTTGCTAAACTGAACCTTAGCGTTTCCTCTGCCGAACTGCTTCACCAAGAAACAGTTGTTACTCTTCACGATCTCCCAGATCAGTTTCCCCCGAACAGTCGCCATTTCCACCTACCTTCAATTACACAAGGACTCCATTCAGAAACACACACGAATAGAGTGAAACAGTGGTAAAGATCCGACAAGTTCTGAAGTTCATCTGCTCAAATCAGAACCCCAAAAGCAACGAAAACAAGGAGAGAAAGGCAGATCGGAATCCCATTTCGCAAAGACGAACACGTCAGGCCCCAAGGGAGAATTCATGCTCACCGTTTGCAAGGAGAGAAAGGCAGATCGGTGTCAAAAACCTCTAATATAAAGTATTTAAATAAAATAAATAAATCTAATCGGGGCGTTTGGTCTAGTGGTATGATTCTCGCTTTGGGTGCGAGAGGTCTCGAGTTCGATTCTCGGAACGCCCCTAAGTAATTCGATACTTTTAAATGTATGTCAATTTGTTACTATTTAACAATTTTTTTTGTACTAAAGCCAACTTCATCATGAATGGGCACACGCATGGTTGCCAATCTCGTTTTCGTCTTCGCGAATTTTACAAAAGCGAATTTTACAAAATGATTATCTCGTTTTTGTTTTCATCAAATTTGGATACCCGCAATTCGCATACCCATCGTGGATATCCAAACCATCAAAATCTTTAAACTGTTAAATTTTGTTGACTTTAAAATATTTTGGTAATTTTATTTGAAATTATATTTAAATATTATTGTAAATATAATTTATATAAATATCATTTTATTAATATCTGATACCCACGGGTAATCCATCGCCATTTTAAAAAAAAAAAAACAAATCCGAATCCACAGTTCTGATTTTCGGCTTTATCACACCCGTCTTCGTCTTCGTTTCTTAACAAGTACCCATATTTCGAATACCCGTGAGACCATGTACCCGAAACCCAGCGAGTCTCAAGTAACCGCGTCCACCCTTACACTTCATTAACGCCAATCAAGGATTAATACCAAACCAAAATACGGAGAATACTTGTACCAATCTCTATCTATACAAAACTTTAACCAAAATCCACCTTTATGAAGGCTTTGAATCCATTCAAGTTTCAGAAGAATATAGTAATACAGATATGGACAGGCCCTGATGCATTCTTCTTCTTGTCCGTCCATACAATTCGGTGTTAGATGCCATCACATACCCAAATGTCTTCACCTCCTTCAGCCCACATTCGGGAATATTACTCAAATAACCCACTTGGGTCGCAGCAATTTCAGTGTACACCACCGAAAAAAAAAAAAAAATTTGCGACCTTATTACGACTAATATATAACTAATATACAACTTATTACGACTAATAAACTACTCTTATTTTAGTTGTATATTAGTTATATATTAGTCGTAATAAGTTCGCAAATTTTTTTTTTTTTTCGGTGGTGTACCCTGAAATTGCTGCGACCATTGGTTATTAGGGTTAAAACCCCCCCCAATCCACCATGGACGAGTTACCTCTGGAGCTGGCGGTGGATATCCTGAGTCGACTCACCAATTCCGACGACCTCGCTCGATGCCGAGCCGTTTCCAAGACTTTCAACTCGATTGCGCGGCAGGTTCGCATCGTGAACCTTATCTGTACCCGGTCCCGGTTTCTGAAATCGCGTCGGTTGCTGCCGGAGAGCGAGATCATCACGACACCGTTCAAGGCGATCTTTCGAAAGCTTGTCTCCGATTCACGTGATCTGCAGTCTGTATCGATCGGCGTCGAGAAGGCGCTCGGTGGATTGCAGTTCATTGACTTGGAGGAGGACGAGTCCGACGATTTGTACCTCACCGATGTCAATTTCGTGCAGGAGTGGTTGCCTAATGTTTGTGGAAACCTGGAGATTCTGTCAATTTCGGATTTCTGGATTCAGTCTTGTTGGAGAAGATCGGGTGTTCTTGCGCTCATTTCTTCGAATTGTAAGTTTGGCCTGCCTGTATCTCTGATGTTCGATTGCCGTCGAATATTTCGCTCTTCGTCTTCATTTTCCGTATTCTTTCTTGTGATTTTCGAGCTCTTGCTGGATATTTGAACGGCAAGCTTTCTTGTCATCGATCATTCTTTGAAATTGTTGATAGATAATTCATGCTTGTTTGAGTAATAGCAATGAGATTCCCCAATAGCATGTTATGGAAATTTGTGGATGATTTTGACATTGCTCTGAAAGCTTCCGCTATTGTTAGCTCTTCTTTAATTTATGGTAATTGAGGAAGCATTTTTTTCTCAGGCCACAGAAATGATGCGTGTTTCATGTCAAACTGACTTGTTAGGTGAAATAACATCATTTGTGATTCAATTGGTGCTTAAAAGCTGAATTTGAAGTTTGCCTTCGGGTTTTCTTATTGCAGCTGAGCTTAGGGATGTTGTTTGTTAAGAGTCAGAATATTGTTTGCATTACTCTAAATCTATTCCATTCTTTTATATGTTTCAGGTAGTAGTCTAGTTGAACTGGAGTTAAAGAATGCTTGGCTATCAGTTGAAGGCCTGACCGAGATGCCAAATCTAAGAAGTCTGACCCTCGAGTTTATCAGAATCGATGACGAGAATCTAGACAAGATCAACAGTTGCTTCCCTTTCCTTCAAGTGCTGAATCTGATCGGTGTTGGAGGACTTAAAGAGCCGAAAATCCATCTCTTGCACCTTAGAGCTTGTCACTGGACAGTGTCAAATGCTCCACTTTCATTGGCTATATCAGCTCCAAACCTTGTTGAACTTACGCTGAAGTGCGTCAAACCCAAAGGTCTTGTCCTCAAAACACCCAAGTTGGCGAAATTCCAGCTCTTACTAGAGGAAGCAAACGATGTCAGCTTCTCGGAATTCCAGGATCTGGGTACCCTAGAGCTCGTATCTCCCGACATAAACAGGTTAATAAACTGCATTCCCCACTTTGGCAACACCGTCAGAAAGCTGACAGTGGATTCGTTCAAGTCTGAAAGGGCAAAACTTGGACTGGAAACGCTTCTGGAGGCATTCCCGCACATTGTTTCTCTCGGTCTGGGTCCTGGGTGTTGGTCAGAAATGGAAAGTTGCCTCGAGAAAGGTGGTCCGAAACACAGGAGCCGAAAGAGTAAACTGAGGGAGATAAAAGCGCATATTCAGACCCGAGATGTAGGAGTGACGGTTTCATTTATCGGGTATATAATCGAGAATTGCTCGGGTTTGACAGACATGAGGCTGCTGAAACACCGATCATGGCGTCCGAAGCAAACTGATAAGGACGTGCACGAAGTGTCATCCGGGAGTGAGATGGAAATGGGGAATGTGGGGGGGTTTTAACCCTAATAACCCATTTGGGTCGCAGCAATTTCAGGGTACACCACCGAAAAAAAAAAAAAATTTGCGACCTTATTACGACTAATATATAACTAATATACAACTAAAATAAAAGTAGTTTATTAGTCGTAATAAGTTGTATATTAGTTATATATTAGTCGTAATAAGGTCGCAAATTTTTTTTTTTTTTCGGTGGGGTCGGAAACGGGGGCTTTTAAAACAACAAATAAAAAAGGGTCCACATTGCACACGTGTGAGATTGTCTGCATGCAGAAACTGTATAAAGTCCAAAATACCACTGTCGTTCATAAGAAATATCGAAAATGCCACTCTTTCGACATTATGATTTGATTTATCAATCGTTGATATTCCCCGGGGTTTGTAGTTGCAGGAGAAGACATATATGAGTGGAAATCAAGGGAAAACGTGCAGTCAAACGTTCTTAGCATCAAACACAAGGAAGCTACTTCGAGAAGTATCACCACAAGTGGACTGAGTAAAGTTGGTATAGTTTAAACAAGGTTTAAACAAGCGATATCAAGGTACACATTTGTCCTTTGGATGGTGATGCAGGGTAGAATGCCGACACACGATAGATTGTTCAGATGGAATATTATTCAGAACTCAACTTGTGTCATCTGCAATGAGGAAGAGGAGTCACACGATCACCTCTTCTTTCGATATCGTTTTAGTGCTGAAACATGACAGGGACTCACGTCGAAGATTTGGAGAGACTCGCCGGCAACCCTCTCGATGTGCCTCTCTTGGATGGAAGCAATCCCACAATCCGATGGTATCAAGCGAAGCATTCTTCTAAAAATTATCATACACCATGTTGTTTACGGGGTATGGAAGGAGCAGAATTCCCGCATCTTCTCAAATGTCTCTGCAACTTCCCATGTCATGCGCTCACGTATCGATCAATCAGTCGGAAACACCCTCCTGTCGCTGCAACAGGTTCGAGAAAGTGAAAGCAACACTCTGCTTCAAAACTGGTATTCACTTCTACTGTATGACATGGCGTAGACAAAGAAAATATAGATTTGGTGTAATAGTTATATTTCTTTCGAGGTTACTCTAGCGAAAATTTTTTTATTGTGGATTTTTTTCCTATACTATACTATGTACCCCAATTTTGAGTAATACAAAACAAATTACATCAAAAAAAATGTTTGCGGAAAAAGAGTTTGCATTTTAATCAGTACAATATGTTCAAACCGTCGTAATTAAAAATTCGAACAGAAAAAAAAATCAAATTTCATGACAGGTAATCATAAAAATTAAGATAAAAACCAATCTGAACAATAAAAATATCGTCTATATGATGTATGATGTATAACAATACTACCAACTCCACATATCGATTCACAAAGAAGATCGAATTAGTTCTCAGAATGCACTCAACACACACTTGCGAAGAAAAAAGAATAAAAAAGTATAAAACTTTACCACAAAACCATTATATATATATATTCACCGTCGATTGGGACGACGAGACGCGAGCGAAGCCAACAAGTTGTCATAATCAGGCAGCTTCGGATGAACATGACTTGCTCTCTCCTTCGATGGTGTCTCAACAGATGAATCATCGGCCGACGTCACAACCTTTGGAAGAGAAGTCGATGGCGTCTGCTCTTTATCGGTTTTCGCAGTTACTGTAGTTTCCGAGGTTGAGCTTTTCACAGGAGCTTTTCCCGGACCCTTTGTCCTTCGAGATAACCCCCCAGTCATCGGCTTAGCTTTCGTGCGTGGAGCGAATTCCCGAGCTTCATTCTCGTCTTCGTCATCACCAAACGGAGAAGAGAGATTCAAGGCTGATGAGGCCTGAGTCTTGGCGTTTTGTCTCTTATTGTCTTTCCCTCCTGTTGTTGTTTGCTTATTGATCCTCCTCTCTTGATTTCCGATAGAATCTCCTCCTTCTTCTGAGTCGTCATCACTGGTACGTGAGTGAAGATACGAGACCCGGGTCTGTGTCTTGATTCTACTATCTTCCAGTGTAATAGAAGTTCTTTGTGGAGGTTCCATCGCTGAATCTTCATCATCGCTAGAAGATGCATCGTGAGGTGCATAGACTGGTTTTTTCTCAGTGTAAAGCTCTTTCCTCGTAGATGAAACAGATGGCGAAGATGACATTGCCTGATCAATATTAGTTTCGGTGTACTCCTTCTCCGGCTTAGACAATGTAGTGTCTCTTGCTGGACTCATCCTGTATGGAGGGAGTGTCTTTTTATTCTTGAGTCCACCGGTTAAAGCTCCAAACCTCAGACCCATCTGTGTCTCCAAGTCGGAATCCTCTCGTGCCCTTGTATCATACACGGGTTCATCTGTGTCTGACGGGAAAAAGTCATGTTCTGCTTCATCAGTGTACTGAAACCTCGGGGATGAAAGTGATGTTGTCGCCTTCGACCTTTCTTCCACGGGTTTCCCACCAGAAATTCCAGCCTTATTGCTCGGCTCATCTACTTCGCTTTCTGAATCCGGGCCATAAGCATCAAACTTGGCAGACTGTTCCGCCTCATGAAAAGGAACAGCAGGACCTGTAGAAGGACCATCATCAAACACTGGGGAAGTTGGCTTTTCTTCAAAAACTTTTGAGCTTGACCTGTACTTTCCCGGATTTGTGCCTTCACGAGCAGGTGTTTTATCGCCCAGCAAAGAAAATCCTGATACATAGTCTGGCTCATCGTTGTTGTAGGTGTCTTCTTTGTCGAATTGAGGTTTATCAAAAAATGAGCCATACTCATCGAAAGAAGCAGCAGCATGGCCACTATCATGGTGAAATGTTTCTTCCGGGCTTCTCTGAGGTTGGTGACTGTCATCAGTTGCAAAGATATTTTCTTCCAAACTCGGTGACTTGACTAAATCTGAAGCAACAATATGGTCATCAGAAAAGGTTCTTGAATGTGAACGAGAAGAAGCCCGGCTTGACTTTTTGCTTAATTGAACCTCATCCATGTAGTCAATGTTTCGATCGGGTTCACTCGGTTGCTTCTTCTCTCTACCTGATTTAGCAAAGGAACCAGACCGTCTTGTTTCTAAATTCTCCTGAGAATCCCTGCCTCTCCTTCCTCGAGCGTTTCCCGATAGTTCATCATCAGAAGAACACTCCGACCCCGTTGACCCAGTAAAGTTATCATGCTTGGTACTGCTCATCTCTTGGTACTGAGTAACATTTCTTCTGGGAGAAGGACGATCTTCACTCTGCACATTTGAGCTGATACGTTTGGGTTGATGTTCGTTTCTGTTATTAAAAGAAGGGGACGATATCGGTGAATCTGCTGAATTCTGTCTCATCATCCTTTCTTTGCTCGAAAGTTCTGCAGCTGCTCTTGCAGCAATACTTGCTCTTTCAGCAGATTCGGCGGCAGCACGTGCAGCAGCTGTAGCATCTTTAAATTCCATTTCCCACTTCCGCCTGCTCGTAGGAGAGGAATCCCCATCACCTGAATTTGGATGCCTATATTCCCCTCCATGAGTCCTATCCCCTGTAGAACAAATATAAACGTATATGTGTATGTATGTATATGTGTATGTATTGTGAATAACTTACCGGAAGGTCTTGCATTGGGATGATAACTGTCAGATGTCTTTCCGAGGTTAACATCAGGAGGAGCAGCACTGTGCAAATGGTCTGAAGATCTTTCATCACATGGATACGAGCTTGATGGAACACGATTTCTTTCACTTGAGCTTGGTGGAACTTGGAAGTTTGGAGGTTCTTTGTCAGGGACTTTAGGAGAATCTGCATGTTTTCTACTGGCTGACTCAAATGAACTCGGTTGGTCTCTCTGATCAGACAAAACACAAAAACTCGGTATTGAGGGAATAGCTACAACACAAGACACAAATATTAATACGTTATGCACTCAACAACGAACAATTTCGATTTCAAATGTTACTAACCAACACTTCGGCATCCTTTGGATCTGTTTCCATCAAGGATTTTGCCTCCCACTTGATATTATGCTGCTCAGCAATTTCCGTCAAGATTTTAACCTTTGTCGGACCATCAGGGGCTTTTACCGACAACTTCTCCGCCAACTATATAATATGTACAATTGAAAGAGAGACTAGTAATCACAAAAAAAGTTTTCATCTGGAAACAACCTTAAAGAATCTTTTCATTCCCTTTCCTATCCTTCAGTCATAAATGGAAAAAGGAGAGGAGAAGAACGCGGACAACTACTCACCAAGCGACTCACACCAGAATCTGGACGTAACTCGACAGCAGCAGAAGCAAAATCCTTTCCATATTTTGCTGAGAAATGCTTAACAACATCTGAGAGTTCCGGGACATCTGCTAGCCTTCGTGAAGCATATAAGACACTTGCAACAGCTTCCTTCAGATCGTTCGGGCAATTCCTGAAGTAGGATCACAATGATAAACACATAATAATTCCGTGAAAAAAACACAGACATAATAATAATTCAAAAAGGTAAGCTTAATTAATGCTTATGTTCTTCCGAGCAATTCAGTGGCTTTGCTTACTTCTGCGACTCGATAACAGCTAAACGTGCCACGAGAAGTTCACAATATATTCCAACCAGCTCATAAGCAGCGATTGTTTTCTCTTCTCTCACCACATGCTCCACCTAAAGCACAAGAATGATTCCTATGTCATGAGCAGAGATGTTCAAACAAAATGAAACGAGACATGAAAATGGAACAGAAACCAAATGTCCTATGTCAGGTTTCATAGGCCTGCAAAAACGAGACATCGACATGAACCCAGATTGAACATTCCAAAACCCAAATTCTTCAACGCCTAAATAATACGATGAAGACAAATCCGCAATCTTGATTTTAATTAAGAAAAACAACGCTATCATTTTTCCGAGAACTTGAACCTAGTTAGAGCCAATGGGCCATTGGAAAGCGAAAATTGACGGAAGCAAAGATCCAATGGCTTACTCGAATTCTGGCCGTCTGGGTCTGCCCGGACTCGAGCAACTGAGCCAATTCTTTCCTCAACTGCTTTATCTGTACATCCTTTTTGTTCTTCAGTATCTTCAGGCGCGACGACGCCATTTGCAAAGCCGTTTTGCTGCATCAGAAAGCGATAGATCCACATTTCGAAACAAAATCGTGAAAAAATTGACAACCGAAAACACCGGATGAAACAGTACGAATTAGTCACTGAGACACCCGATTAAAAAGTAAAATCGATCCAAAATTGAGAGTACTATCAAATTTTCATGGTCACGATAGAAGAAAGAGGGACAAAAACGATAACCCAACTACCATTTTGCAGGCTTGAAACTTCGATGAAGCACCTTCTTCATTGAGCGATGCTGAATAAAGCAATAATAGGAAATCACGCCGTTCGAACTAGAGAATCCGATCGATTCCTAAAACTACAGGAAATTTAGAGTTTTCTGTGATCAAATCAGACGAAAATCGCTGATCTATGGAATGGAATTTCCAGGGGATCTGACAGAAGAAACGTATATTTTTTTTTATAGAGAGGCTGAAGATAAAAAAAATAAATTGGATTTTGATTCCATAAATAAATATATTATTTATTGGAATAGATTTTCTGACGTGTCAAATGATAATGAAGAAAAAACCGAGCAACCATACGGGGGAGATCCCGTGTGTAAAAAGGTGCACGTTCGACGAAAATAGATGGTTTGGAGACTTTTTCTATTATAAATAATTTAATTTTAATCTTAATTAAAAATACAAACATTTGGATCAAACGGTTGGCGCATGGATGGATGGATATTTCAGGATTGGGATTAAAATTTTAATGGTTTGATTTGAGAATGATTTATTCGATATTTTAAAATTTATACAAAATTAATACTATATATTATTCGGTTCAGTTTGGTTTTAGTTTTTGTTAAAAAAATTAATTTTTTAAAAAAAAATTTAATTTTTTAGAAAATTTTATAAAATTCAGTTCATTTTTTAAAAATTCGTTTTTATAAAAATTATACCGTTTAGAAATTCTGATTTGAACAAATATCAAAATTTTCGGTTCGCTGCATTAATGGAAACGCCAACCTCTATAATTAATGGTCAACATGTTTGGAGACGGAACATATGACATGCCACCACTGGGTATAATATAAACAACTGTTGATTTTATTACCACATAATAAATAAGTAATTAAATGAAATAATCCCTCTCCTCGGACGATGTCTATTATTACAAACGACGTCGAGAAAATGTCCATTTCAGACCTTTTGATTTATTAAAAAATAGTAAAAATAAAACAAAAAATGATACAATTGACTCGTAAACAAATAGGAAAACTGAAAAAAAAGGGGTATTTTGACAAAAAGGTGACGAATTCTTGGGCTTCTAGACACGTGTATATATATATATATATTTGTTTTGGTCAATGAAAATGACAATTATTTGTCAGATGTATATGGTTATATCCATATATATATATATATATATCGTACAACTTTTGTCTGATGGTATGTATATATTTTTATCAAAACGCTCAACTCTGGATACTGTACAAAAGGAAAATCGAATGCAAAGGGGCGTGTGTGTTTCCGTGTCAGCCTACGTCTGTTGGTTAAGTTACTGCCGTGTTGGAGTTACATCCTCAGCTCACTGCACAAACCAAACATCTTTCAGATTAAACGGACTTTGTTATACACAATGACTTGCTGTCCAAAGATTTCATAAAAAGATCTAAACTTTACCCAAAATATATATACTTTTCAGGTTTTAATTTATATTTTTCCCCACTACAGAACATTATTATATTCCCATAGACTCGTATATTTCAACCAAAAAAAAATTAATTAGGAAAGGATGCCCATAAATCTTATAAAAACTCAACCATTTTCTATGATCGGTGCGATATTCTAACAATACCGCTCCCTTTAGACATCGACGATCACGGCATTGATGGCTTTGGATCGGATGGCTTTGCACGTCATTATTGGCTTTCGACTACCAATCTCGCTCTTTATGCTGCTATTCCTTTCGCTCCCCTCCGCCATCTACGGATAGAACTCACTTAAAAACTAGTTTACGGGGAGGGTGTCTATACTCAACTATTTCGATATACAGTTGATGTGCGATTCTAATATATTCCTGGGCAATTTTTTGGGGCGTATTAGAAGAGAAAAAAAAAAGGAAAGAGAGAGGGAAA